ATGCACTCAAACCCCCCTGTGAGTAAATCCTCCTATAGTTCTTGTTAAATCACTTGCTGGATCATTTTTCCTTTAATACGAGGAAAGAAATCTTCCTTCCAACCCCATCCAAAGACTTCCCTCACTCACTGCTGTGAATATTCCCAGGAGCCACCTTGGGCTTTACAGGCTCCTCTGGCCAGTGGGATGTCCTACACCAGTTCCCCCCAGACAGATTGCTCACTGCCAGCAGTTCTGATGGCTCCTGTGCTCTGATCAGATTGAATCACTGACACGGTTTCTCACTGCTCTGAGGGAGCAGAAAACTTCCCCCTTTGCTGGGCAGAGTTTGGCCCGTGGTGTTGAATTCACGGTGCCAACAGCTATTTGTCACTTCTGCTGCGGATGATGGTTTTCCAGGGTTTTCCAGAGCTCATATGAGACACCACCAAGACAGCTGTGGTCTTACACTGTCCAGGTCCTAACAGGGGCTGCTGGAAGGGTGGCTTGGGATACAGTCAGAAATAATCCCAACTTCCAATTGAGGACAAAGCAGTGTTTTTTCATGCAGTCCTCAACATTTCAAATGAAAAACGTTTCAAATGAAAAGCATTTCAAAGAACTCCAAAGCACCAGTGCTGGATCCTTCCTAGAAACAGCTACTTGTCCGTTAGCTGTTCTTCACCACATATTTTGTTTACTGCTTGAAACTGATGAAGAGCTTCACTGGAGACACTGATTTATTCCTGTGCCAGTAGTCCATTCCCCACCCTTGCACCCAACAAGCCGGATTTCTTGCAACATGCCACCCAGCAGGTTGGCACAGGGCTGGCTGATGATCCCCAACAGAGGCTGGTCTCTGCAGAGACCTAATGCCTGACTGAGCTGTTGAGTCTTTGCTCAACAACTGGAATGTGAGGGGCCACTGGCAAAAATCTGCAGTGAGAAAACATCAGAATAACTTTTGCAGCATATCCTGTGCACTTGGATTGGCAACACACAGGAGGCTCTGCCAAGAGCTGTTAGAAGAGGTGCTGTTACTGCAGTGCTGGTGGTGGGTATCTATCCTTCACAGTGTTTTTCTAGTGAGGATATTTTTTGTGCTGCTCCATGTTTTTCCTCACTCCCTGCATTAGCTGGGCTGTTTAGCTCTCTGCACTGTGCTGCTTACACTGCTACAGCAGCGATTTGAAATTGTTCCCTCTCCAAGACTGTCTCTTAAAATGTCTACAGAAGAAGATGAGCGACAACAATTGCCCCAGGATGACAATTGCTCCACCACTGTGACCCATTTCCCCTATTTGTTATCTCTGCTCCACTGTATTCCGAGGCAATGGCCCCGATGGACCAGCCCCAAGGCGCTCCACTGGAGAGAGGAGAGGTGTGTCGCAGAACTGCACCTCAGAGTCTGCGCTCTGGGCTGAGCCCAGCACCACCCAGCTGTGAAATGTCCCTGTGGCCTAAAACCTCCTGCCTGGCTTCGCCAAAAATGATGCCGAAATTTTGCCCCAAAAGGCACGGAGAAACTGCTTTAGAGACAAAGTTTGTTTCTTTAAAGCAGGAGGTATTTTATTGCAACGCGTTGGGGAGCTCTCCAGGTCGCCCTGGGCAAAGAGTTCCGTCGTGTACAATCAGCATAGCTCTTTTATACAGTTTTTGAGTATAGGATTACAACACAATCATGCATATTCATTAAATTGCAACATCTAATTGTAATATTCATATGAAGGCGGAGTCTGGGCGGAGTCTTCAATTTGGGGAGATTTCACGGTGGGAGTTCCTGTTGCCTTCCTCTGGGCGGGGGTCGTGTGTGAGTCTTCCTCACTGTAAACTTCTGAACTTTCTTTCGATCTTCTCCTTTTAAGGCAGTTTTGGCAAACACAATAAGGTCAGGCTGACTTTTGGCTCATCCTACGATTTGCTGAGTTGCTATCTCTGTGAGGAATGCAGCTATCTCTCTAGGACTGCTCTAGGATTCGCTGAGTTGCTATGTCAAGGACTGCCTAGTTTCCTAATGTTAAGGTTTTGAAATTTCTCTTACAATTTTGTGTTAACCTTTTATGTTTCAAAGTTTTAAGTGAGTGGCTTCAAAATCTTCCCTCCAACCCCATCCAAAGACCTCCCTCACTCGCTGTTGTGACTATTCCCAGGAGCCACCTTGGGCTTTACGGGCTCCTCTGGCCAGTGGGATGTCCTACACCAGTTCCCCCCAGACAGATTGCTCACTGCCAGCAGTTCTGATGGCTCCTGTGCTCTGATCAGACCGAATCACAGACACGGTTTCTCACTGCTCTGAGGGAGCAGAAAACTTCCCCCTTTGCTGGGCAGAGTTTGGCCCGTGGTGTTGAATTCACAGTGCCAACAGCTATTTGTCACTTCTGCTCCAGGTGATGGTTTTCCAGGGTTGCTATGCAGCCCTGCCACCAGAGCTCATACGAGACACCACCAGGACAGGGTGGTCTTACACTGTCCAGGTCCTAACAGGGGCTGCTGGAAGGGTGGCTTGGGATACAGTCAGAAATAATCCCAACTTCCAATTGAGGACAAAGCAGTGTTTTTTCATGCAGTCCTCAACATTTCAAATGAAAAATGTTTCAAATGAAAAGCGTTCCAAAGAACTCCAAAGCACCAGTGCTGGATCCTTCCTAGAAGCAGCTACTTGTCCATTAGCTGTTCTTCACCACATATTTTGTTTACTGCTTGAAACTGATGAAGAGCTTCACTGAGACACTGATTTATTCCTGTGCCAATAGTCCATTCCCCACCCTTGCACCCAACAAGCCGGATTTCTTGCAACATGCCACCCAACAGGTTGGCACAGGGCTGGCTGATGATCCCCAACAGAGGCTGGTCTCTGCAGAGACCTAATGCCTGACTGAGCTGTTGAGTCTTTGCTCAACAACTGGAATGTGAGGGGCCATTGGCAAAAATCTGCAGTGAGAAAACATCAGAATAACTTTTGCAGCATATCCTGTGCACTTGGATTGGCAACACACAGGAGCTCTGCCAAGAGCTGTTAGAGGGTGCTGTTACTGCAGTGCTGGTGGTGGGTATCTATCCTTCACAGTGTTTTTCTAGTGAGGATATTTTTTGTGCTGCTCCATGTTTTTCCTCACTCCCTGCATTAGCTGGGCTCTTTAGCTCTCTTCCTGTGCTACTTACACTGCTACAGCAGCGATTTGAAATTGTTCCCTCTCCAAGACTGCCTCTTAAAATGTCTACAGAAGAAGATGAGCGACAACAATTGCCCCAGGATGACAATTGCTCCACCACTGTGACCCATTTCCCCCATTTGTTATCTCTGCTCCACTGTATTCCGAGGCAATGGCCCCGATGGACCAGCCCCAAAACGCTCCACTGGAGAGAGGAGAGGTGTGTCACAGAACTGCACCTCAGAGTCTGCGCTCTGGGCTGAGCCCAGCACCACCCAGCTGTGAAATGTCCCTGTGGCACCTGGTGCAGAGCTGTGTCCCACCATGAGCACGCTCTGGAACAGGACTTCCTTTGCACATGTTTTCGGTGCTGAAGCGAGTCCCATTTCCCAGCCAAAGAATTCACGCTCCACCAGCCCTGCTCCCTGCAGCTGTCTGCATCGTTCCTTGCTCCCTGATACACCCACTGCCTGGGCGTTTCACGTGGCTGGAGAAGCACGTCAGACCCTGGGGAGGTGTTTCTGATATCTGAGCTCGTGAAACCTGCCAGTTTCAGATGCAAACGAAGCACACTGTGAAGCTGCTTTACCTGCCAGAGGAGCACCTGTTAGACCGACAAATCGGGGCCGTGCACAGGGGAGACAGATCCCCCTCTGACAAAGTTCCATCCCCGGTGCTCAACCCAGCAGCTCCTGCCAGGGGCTGGAAAGTAACAGGATCTTTAAGTGCATTGTCAACACCTCTTGCCCAAATGGAAGAGCACTTGTGTGATGCTTCCCAAAGGAGGATCTGGCCCTGTTTTGGGCTGAATGTTCCAGACTGGTTCCAGACTGGTTCCAGACTGCCCCACACAGCTCAGCGGCCCCTCCGGGGAGGCACCTGCTGCCCTTCCCGAGCTGAGGAGGCACGAACCGCTCCCCCCTGGCGGCACTGAACCGCTCCGAGCCCGCCCGTGGCTCTGCCGCGGCTGGAGCGCCGTGCCCGCCGCCGGGGGAGCTGCGAGCACCGCTCCCAGGGCAGGAGAACACCCGGGGGGCGTTTTGAGAGCACCTGGGGCATGCAGGGGATGGGGCGGGTTGGTTTCGTACCGCGGTCAGAGCGGCGGGGCCGGGCTGGGTGCGGGGCCGGGGATCATCCGGCACCTCCCGGGCACCCGATCCCGGGCCCGCTGCCCTGCCCCGTCCTGCTTCCCATCCCGATCCCGGGCCCGCTGCCCTGCCCCGTCCTGCTTCCCATCCCGATCCCGGGCCCGCTGCCCTGCCCCGTCCTGCTTCCCATCCCGATCCCGGGCCCGCTGCCCTGCCCCGTCCTACTTCCCATCCTGATCCCGGGCCCGCTGCCCTGCCTCGTCCTGCTTCCCATCCCGATCCCGGGCCCGATGCCGTTTCCGATCCCGGTCCCGTTCCCCATCCCACTCCCACTCCCTCCCCAGGTATCGCTCCCGCTCCTGGTTCCTATCCCCGTCTCGACGCCGATGCCCACTGCCATTGCCATTCCCATCCCCATCCCCATCGCCACTGCCATTGCCATTGCCATTCCCATCCCCATGCCCATCCCCATTCCCATCCCCATTCCCATTCCCATCCTCATCCCCATCCCCATCCCCATCCCCATTCCCATTCCCATCCTCATCCCCATCCCCATCCCCATCCCCATCCCCATCCCCATTCCCATCCCCATTCCCGTCGGCCGCACCTGCGGGGCTGACGCGCGCCCCTCAGGCCGCCTGGCCACGCCCCCGCCGCCCCTCAGCCAATGAGCGGGAGGGGGCTGTGCCCGGCGGCCAATGGGAGCGCGGGGAGCGCGCCCCCGCCCCCTATTTGAGGCGCCGAGCGCGGCCGCGCGCCCGCAGAGGCGGCGGCGGGAGCGGAGCGGGTTCGGCATTGGAGCCGGACCCGGAGCGGGATCGGGATCGGAACGGGAGCGGCTTTGGAGCCGGACCCGGAGCGGGATCGGAGCGGGACCCGAGCGGGAGCGGCCCCGGGAGCGGCCGGCGCGCCCGGCGCTGCCCCGCACCGCGCTCGAGGGAGGGGCCGCTCCCATGGAGGCATTCCCGGGCGCCAAGCTGGAGCAGCACCGGCACCTCCCGCCCGTGGAGTGCCTGCCGGGCGCCCGCTACGGCGGCCGGAGCCACAGCGCCTGCGGGAACGTCTTCAACTCCTGGAACGACTACCTGGGGCTCGCCACGCTCATCACCAAGGCCGTGCGCCCCGGCAAGGGCTTCGGCGCGGAGCCCCCCTCGGTGGTGGTGGCGGCCGCCGTGCCGCCGGCCGAGGAGGAGGAGGAAGAGGAGGAGGAGGAGGAAGAGGCGGCGGGGCCGTACTTCGAGGGAGCGCTGGACTTGCACGACCTGGACCTGTGCGGGCATCACCATCACCACCACGGCGAGGGGCTGCTGGAGGAGCGCTTCGCCGACTTCAGCCCGTTCCCCGGGCGCGGCGGCCCCGCCGCCGTGGTGTTCGACTGCTCGGGGGAGCACCCGGGCCGGGAGGGCTCCGCCTGGGGCGGCGTGGTGGTGGCGGGGCGGCTGCCGGCGCACCCGCGGGCCGCCTCCCGCCTGCTCAAGCCCGAGCTGCAGGTCTGCGTCTTCTGCCGGAACAACAAGGAGGCGGTGGCCCTCTACACCACGCACATCCTCAAGGGACCCGACGGCCGCGTCCTCTGCCCGGTGCTGCGGCGCTACACCTGCCCCCTCTGCGGCGCCAGCGGCGACAATGCCCACACCATCAAGTACTGCCCCCTCTCCAAAGTGCCGGCGGCCCGGCAGCTCCGGCACGCCCGGACGGCGCTGGGCAGGAAGGGCCGCTGACCCCCGGGCCCGTCCCCCGGCGCGGTGACACCGCCCCGGCCGCTGCGCGCTGGCCCGCGCCGAGCCCGGCGGGGACTGCGCGCCGGAGATGCGCTGTGTTTGTTTATTGTAAGAAAGAAAATATATCTATATGTGATTTTTACGGAGACGGCGAGATCTGACTTGGGGGGAGTGGGTTTGGAGGGTCGAAGCAGCCGCGGGTGGGGGTGGTCGCGGGGGTCTCAGGCCGCCTGAGGAGGGGCAGCGTCTCCTCCTGCCGCCCTGCCCGGAGCGCATCCCGGCCCGGCATCCTGCGGGGCTGCACCGCGGGCCGGAGGGCTGTTCTTAATTGCCACTTACTAGCAGGGTGTTTAATTAGGGTACAACTCTACACCTTTCGGGTCTTAAAGCAAACATCCCATCAGTTTCCTCTGCCGGTCTTAAAACCGGTAAGCAAACCGCGGTCAAGCGCGCCCTCGGTAATTAACACCTGCTTCCCGAAATCGCAGCATCCTACCTGGAGCGGTGCCCCGCGGCCACTCCTGAGCGGGGATGGCGCTGGCCTCGCAGGTCCCCGCTCCGGATACTCAGCTTCGGGGAAGGTCTGAGAGGAGAAAACACCCAAGTGCATGTTTGAAAACATGATGACTCTGGGCCACGGTGCGAGCCGCGTCTTTTCTGCTCACAGAAAGGCAATTACAAGGGCACAGAACAAGATTGGATGCAGCTGTGTTTGTAGTGGTGAAGGGGGAGGTGATGTGAAGCCTGGAGGAAGAAGACCTGGACAAAGCAGGAAGCCATGACCATAGGATAATGGAAGAGAGGGAGGTTGTGTATTTTGAAGAGCTGAGAGAATGGGGCTTTAACTCACTGAAAGTAGAAGGGATCTACCCATGTGGTTAACAAATATCCTTAACACTACATAGCCTGTACAAAGTGTAAGAATTATACAGAAGACCTGGACTACCCTGGGTGATGGCAGATCCTTATTACTGAATATCAGCCAGGGCTACGTTGTTTCTAATCCTCAAAAGATCAGAAATTTCTTACTTTGTGACTCAGAGGAAGGAGAAGGAGCAGCAGCAGGCTTGTAGTTAGCTTAGGATTCCTCCAGAGCCAAAAGGCAGGTGCTGGAGTTTTCAGAGCAGGGTGTTTGTTACACTGCAGATGGCTTTGGTGACACCTGGGTTGTGGAGGGGTGCTCTGTCTGGGGAGGTTGCCCCAGTGAAAGCAGGGAGGTGAAGAGGGCCTTGTGGAGGAACTGCTGGGGCACTGCCAGGACGTTGAGAAAGGAGATGGGTCCTGACAGAGAAAGGGAACCAGGAAAGTGAGGGGTGATTCACACTTGTGCAGTTTCCTTTTGAAAAGCTACTCAGCAGGGTGGGAGATGGGACCAAGAAAAGAGGGGGAGAGCAGGGCAGTCAAGAATGGAGTCAAAACATGTGTGGGACGGGCTGGGGATGAGGGCCCAGGGCTGATTATTCATCGCAGCTGTTGGCTCACAGCTGCAGCAATTAGGAGGGAGAACCTAATTTTGTGTGGAAGTGTTCCTTTAAATCTCCATCAGATGACTCCAAAGACGGTGTCAGGTCTAATTACCAAATGCAGTGGGGCTTGCATTAAATAACACTCAGTGGCTGCAGTTACCCTTGTGGCAGCCTCTCTCCCTGTGCTAAATACCATTACTTATTGTCTCCTGCTCTACGGGGTGTGCACCACTGGCTCTTCTACGCTGTTAGAAGTTAGATGTGTTTGGTTTTGTGATTCCTGGTCCACGTAGGTTTAATCTGTGTCCACCACGCATTAGAATCAAGCTCGAGTGTGATGCTGTGGGAAGAGTTTTCTTCTGTATTTTTGTTTCCTTGTGGGAAGTTCTGAAGATCCGTATATCCATTTCAATGCAGTTGACTGTTACTGGACACAAAAGCAAGAAAGATCTAAGAAAATCTGTCTCGGGTGTTTTCTGAGGGTTAACTGGCCGGGCTGGATTGGAGTTGCTCCCTGCAGGGTTTGCCATGTCCCTGCCCCACCTCTCTGCTCTTCCCATTGAGCTGCTGGGCAGTACCAGCCCCATTGCAAGGCCTGGAAATCCATCAGGATAGCAGCAGATCCCCCACCTCGGATGGCACTGGGCTCGTGCAGTGCCTGTGTAAGAGGAAAAGGGTTGTATTGGTGGCCTGGGCTCTGCTGCTCCTGGTTCCTCTCTCGTCCCCCACATGCACAGCCTGGCTGTGGGAAGGCCAAGAGCTCCCTGTCGTCCCTGGCACATGGCATTAGGCATCTGGTCAGAGACTTAACAGGTGAAGTGGGAGAGTCACAGCTTCAAAAGACCTGCTGGGGTGGGGAGAAATAAAATAGCAGACTGTTCCAGAGAGGAGATGATGAGATTCAGCATCAGAAACAGCCTGAGAGCAAGGCTCTTCAGTTGCTTTACATGATCATTCAACAGGACAATTTCCCCTTCTAAGTTTTACAAGTTAGAGTCTAAGAAAGACTAAACCTTTAAGGATGTTTTGATTGGTCTCTTTTGGTTTTTTTAAAGTAAGCTCCTGTGATTTCTGGTGCACCAGCACACTCCTTGTGGCACTTAGTAAGCAGGAACATGCTTGTTCTTGGTCAGTCTGAAAAGCTTACTAACATAGATAGTGTCAGTAGTGCTTATTAAATTCTAGGAACAGCAAAATGCTTTTTCTGAAAGCAGTCCAGCTTAGAGCTGTTATATGCTCTGCAGAAGAGGTCTATGAGACATTATTTTCACTTTTCCACAGGCATCTGCAAATCAAAATATTATGGCCATGTGTTTCAACCAAACACTGTATCTTCAGAGAATTGCTTTATTACAGGGAAATATTCCTATGCATGTTAGTGATGGAATCTTTTCCATAGTGATGTTCTGGCAAGAGGAGTGAACACAATATTGGATAATCATCCTCAGCTGATAGTAGTCTTGGCAAAAAGCAATCTGCTTCTAATTAAAATCTACTTTCAGATGTATAGATAACTTGATCCAGCAGAAGTCAGGTAAGTCTGTGCCCACGTTTCCTGGAAATCCTGTCTGGACAGGTTGTTCTCAGTCTGCTGCCCAGTGCCTCAGGGAACTGCCACAGGAGCAAACCACAGTGGCTCTAGAATGTCCTTCCCTGCTGCAGTGCCAGCCTCACCCACCAGTGCATAGCTTAATATACACTGGAGGGAGTTTGCCAACACATGCATGGGCAGGAAGATGGTTAATTTGAATATGCCAGTCGTCTGGGCAAAACACAAGTGATACAGAAAGAGATTTAGCAAAGCCAGTAGGTTGCCCTCCTGCCCAAGAGTGAAAGGGCTAAGAGCTTAATTGTAGCAAGGGAGGTTTTGATTAGCAAAAACCCAGTGGAATAGCTTGTAGAATCTCCATCCTACCATAATTAAATGCCTCAACAATTCTGTTTAAGAGGAGGATCAGAAACAGTGTAGAGCATTTCAGTTCCAGCTGGTCCTGCCATGGCAAAATAGGAAGGATTGGGTGTTTTTGTTAAGCCACCTGCATGCCTACTTCTTGCAATGCTGCAGTAAACCACACATGATGGTACCAGTGCCTGAGTCACAGGGAAATTTTGGATCTTGCATTTCACTGACCCAGCACCTTCCTTTCGTAGGCTTCCACCATTCAGCAGTACCTTTTAGTTAAAGGAGGAGAAGTTTTGCTTACATGCAGCAGTTCAGTGTCAATGACTGCAGGCCAAGGGCATTAAAACCACAAAGATGTTTCATTTACAACAAGGCAAACCTCTCACTACTCTTGCTGTTTGAGGTGTCTCCTGGCTGCCCACCAGCCCCTCCCTGACATCCTCCTGGTCCTGCCCACGGCCACACTGAGGCCACCAAGCTCATGGCTTGTCCTGGGCCATGCTCAGCCAGGAGCTGCACTCATTGCCCTGCCCTGCCAGTCCTCATAAATACCGATTTTGTAAAAAACTTCTATTAGTTTTTATAACAAAGGCACTCCAGAGAAAATTAAAATGCCTGTTATGCCCCCGCTTCTGTTGTGTTCAGCCCAGTCTGTGGGCTGCTCTGGGAGCAGGAAAGAACAGCCCTGTTCATACCTGACCCCTGCCTTGCTCTGCTGCTGGAGATTCATTTCAACTGAGCAACACCTGAATCCATTTAAACAGCAGCAGCCTTGAGCTCTGCCTTCTAAATACAACCTGTGACAGTTTGTATTCTTCTAAGATTCACTGAAAATTTTAGATGTTTAACTGAATGTGACTCAATCAAACAAAGCCAAGCTTGAGAGAGAACTCATCTGCCTTCACCAGGTAATCAAACTGTGCTCGTGTCCAGTGATGGCAGTGGATGGAGGTTTGAGCTGCTGGATTTGGTCAGCAGGGAGTTTTGATCACTGTAGTTAGTATTGTGTCTAAAACCATCAAGCAGTAAAATAAACACACTGGCCTGTCTGCAAAGCTCACATCTCCCAGATCTTTTCTCAAGCTGCCCAGTCCTGGGAATTTAATACGTGTTGGCAACATTATCGAAGTCTCAAATAATGGAAGTTAATAACACAGATGGGGGAACAGAGCTTTAGCTGGTGCAGTGATCACGAACAACCCCTCCTGTGTAAAACTGTCTTTGTATGGATACAATTAAAACTATGTAACTGAAGGTATAATAATCACTTTTTACATATTACAATGGCTGGAGAGAGGCAAATGTACCTGTCTTTGAAAAAGGCTGAAAGGGCCATCTGAGAAACTACAGGCCAGATGGTGTTGCTTCAGTCCCTGGGAAAATCACAGAGGAAGTCCTTTCAGAGCGTGTTTTTGGGCATGTGCAGGAGAAGACGACTGGGAACAGCCAGCAGGCATTTACTGAGGCTAAACCCTGCCTGGCTAAGCTGCCTTCTACAACAAAATAACTTTGTGGCCAAGGGAAGGAGCAGTGGATGTTCTTCATCTCAACTGTGGCAAGGGTGTCAGTGCTGTCACACCACATCCTTGCAGCCAGGTGAGGATGTGGCAGCCCACACAAGAGTGGGCACCAACACTGGCTGGATGTTGGGGCTCAGCGTGGAGCGCTAGGCTGCAGCAGGTGAGGGGCATCCAGGGGCTGCCCTGGGACCACCCCTCTCCAGGCTCTGGGGGCAGCCATGGGATGTGCCCTCAGCACAGCTGGGGATGCTGC